CAAACATTCTAAACCTATTTCAACTAGTTCACTATGAAGATTTTTTTTGTTGCACATGGAAAAACTTTTGATTTAGTTCTTTTTAAAGTTAAAGGCCGCAAAGGCTTTTAAGAACAATGAATGAAGATCAAATCATAAAACAAATATGTGAAAGAAGAGAGCGAAGGGTGGAGAGGAAGACAGAGATGTACACATTTGGGTGGAACTGATGAAATTTTCAAGATGAGAGAATTGAGAAGTTTAATGAACAAAGAAAATGCATGAATCAGTGTATGGATGGTAGAAGCTAGATGTTTGCAAGTACAGAAAAGTATTAACAGATATGGTGAACAGGGTTGTTTTAAACTATATACATTTAGATTTCCTTTTCTTTTAATTCCCATCTTTAATTTCTTTTGCTCACTACTTCTCACTCATTGTCTACATTTTGCATAATGCTGCTTACTGTACTCAGAATAGCATGATGCATATATTGGCCAAAAGAAAATAAACTACAGTAGTTCAAGTGGGTTCTTTGAACAAAAAACACTTTCTGAATCATATGTGATCACATCTTCTATCAGTATCTAGAAGTAAAAATAATAAAAATTCTTCTTATCACTGAACAGCAGATGCTTCTGAAATTTCTTTTAAAAGGACGTTCATCTTACATTATCAAACATAAATATCTTCCATAGATTTTGGTATCAGCCATTTCAGTACTTCATTCTCTATTTTGGACAGCTGCTGAACAATACTTTGGGGGATTCAATAATAATTAAGTTATAACCAGTCACTTAACAGCACGCTTCTCTTTTCCTTGAACTGGGGCTGTCATTTATACTATTGCAAATCTTTATGTCAATTTGTATGGCTGTCCATCTCACAAATATGATTCTGAGTAGATGTCATGGATTAAAATATGATTTAAACAGAATGTCTTTGCTATATTTGAGCAGATACATATTTGCATTGCTCTACTTTTCAGTAGAGCATCTTGATGGAAAAGTTGAAAATAATTCCATATTTTAAAATTAAATGCCACATAAACTATAGCATGCTGCACAACAGGAGGATCAAGCAGAGTATGAAAATGGGGAAAGTAAAAAGGTAAACACTTGGTAGTTGTCACTGCATGGCTTGCCTGAGAATATGTCCATTTAACTCAAAGAATGCCAAGTTAGATGTCATTCCTGAATGTCAAGATATTTCAAATATGGTGATGGTTAGGCTAACTCTACATGTGAGAGTACTGAGTGGGTTATGTGAAAAGTACTCACTTAAGAGGGAACTGACATTTTGATCTTATCAAGAGCCAAGTAAATTTATTACAGTTCCCTTAACTGCCTTGAAACCTAAAGGTCAGTAGTGGACACTGTTACTTTTTGGGACTGTCTGATTTCACCATGGAAATCATGATATAAGTGTATTTGCATAATCCTTAGCATAAGAGCATAGATTACCTTGTATTAAGGGTCTTCATTCAACCTGCATGCTAGTAAAGTACCACACTTTATCATATGTTTCTGGTTTATAATTCCTGAATAACGTTCTGGTTGTTTTCTTACCACTGCCTGGTTAATTGGGACAGCCAGTGGGCAACAAGTATTTGAAAATTATTTCCGCAACATGAATATGAAAAGTTGCAGATCATAAAACACTTTTCCTCCACAAAGCGAGTACAAGTAACACACATTTTAAGTAGATAATTTGAGAAAGATGAGGATAAAAGCATTACAATAGTGTTCACTTTATTATTTAAATAAAGAACAGAATGGACAAAGGACATCACATCCAGTTCCTTGCCATCATGCAGAACTCTCCACAAATCTAACACACATACAAGCATGTAATCTAGGAAACTCAGAATGGAAAGCAAAGACAACAAAATGCACCACACAATGAAGTATGTAAATTGAAGAGCAGAAACCAAACATTTCAAAGTTTTGTCTTGTACACAGTAAAAAAAAATAGCTTCTTCATAATTACATCTAACCCATTTCAAAATTTCAGTGTTTTCTTTTTATTAAAAAAATACTTCTTAAAAATACTCTTGCTTTGAATTGCAACTTCCAAGCCAAACTCAGAATTCATGGAGAAAAGACACTTGATAATTTTAGCACTGAGACTGCCTCATATTGCTTCAGTCTAACAAAGACATCAATGTTTAGGAGATAATCACAATCATTATTGTCTATATCATTTTATATTTCACTTTGCTTCCATCACAAAACTTATGCTTTCAGGAAAAACTGCCATTCAGTCAAAAATGGAAAACTGCTTTATCATCTGCTCCTACACCATATTTAGTTTATATGAACCCATCAAAAAGCAAATATTGACTGGCTACTAACATACATAATATTCACTATTATCAGTAAAACAGATCATTCTTCCCTTATGTTATGCTTCATGCTCATTCCTCAGCTTTCTCTAATCTTATCAGCTATTCTGTCTTTACATGAAGAATCCCTCTGAATTCCATGAGGTTTATTTTTAAGCAGATGTATAGGATTCTACACCAACAACACATTCACAACTTGCAACTTTAGTTACTCAGTCTGATTACTTCACAGTAATGTTTAATGTCATCACAGCTACCTGTTCAAAGCCATAAATCAATACATTTCAAGAAGTCAGAATAAAAACAAAACCAAGATGAACAGCACAAATCAGTTGACAAAACGTAAAATACTTAGTAGTTATTTCTTCTTTAGTATTGCAGAAATAGACATGTCATCCTACTGTCACTGTTCCCAACATTTCAAAAAGCATCATCAAATTATCGCACTATCATGCCCACCTCAGAACCGTGTTATACTGAAGAGACATTACTCAGTTAACATCATCACTGGCTTCCAACGCATAGCCAGTATAAAAGATTTATAAAGACTACTCAGCGACTCCCCTTCTGCAACCGAGCGAGCGGGGAGGGAACGCAGTGCTGAATCATAACCTATAGCAGGCAGCGCGTTTGCCAGCACCGTAGGAAAACTCGACAAGCTAGATAGCGATCACCTCCACACAACCCTGGCGTCTCCAGACTCGTCTTCAATAATGTGCATGGTGACATCAGCCAAGCCGCCGCTCGCTCCTCCTACAGACAACGTGTCAAGTATAATTTACGATCCACCCACTCTCGCCTGTGCACTTTCCTGGACACACACAAGTGTTCTAGACACACACTGGTCAATCGCCGCGTCCCGCCGTACTGGCGCGTTACGGACAAATAACTCGGGCGACCAAGCTTTATCTTGACCTCCTCTCTGCGCCGGTAGAACGAGCCGCGAGGACCTTCTAGACTGCGGCAAGAAAAGCCCCGGGGCGGATACTCACATGGAGAAGGCACCCTCCCCCGCCCCCAGACTTATTCCCCTCAGCTGTCTGGTGCCAACACAAGCTCACCCCTTGAGGTTCCTGGCGCGCGCCATCGCGTCCCCCAACTCAAAACTAGCCTTGTATTTTTCTGACACCCAGCACTCCCAAAGCCACCCAGAAACACGCAAAGAGCGATCCGCAGGCCCCCTCAGACGTTTTCCATGACTTTGAACCTCACGAGTGAAGAAAATGGATGCGTTAGGCTACCCCCCCCCCCCCCGTCCGCCTCTTCCGACGCCGAGCCGTCCTCTCAATCGCTGAAAAAGAACACCGAAATCCGCCCCTTGAGGAAAAGCGCCCCGGGTACCGACCTGGAAAGATGCTTCAGGATCTGCTTTTTGATTATGCCCGCCATGGTCCGCACTCGCGTCCCCGCTCGTCGCTCTTCAGGGCAAGCAAAAGAAGATGACTGCTTGACCCATCCCCGTGCGGGACTCCTCCATCCCCCGGAGAGGGAGCGCAGCCGCCTTCGCTCACTCTCCTCCCGGCCCCACCGCCATCTTGATTGCAGCAGAGCCAGCTGACAGGCTAATGGGCGGGGAGAGGGGAGGCACCCGCCGGTGGGAGCGCCGCCCCTCTCTCGGCTGCTACTATTCCGAGCAGGGGCTCGAGGAGCGTTTTGTCTCGCGCGCATTCCTTGCAGTGGCTCCGCGTAGTTCTTTCCATGATGCATGAAATCAGAAGTTGCGGTGCAAGCAGTGTAATCCTGATACACCCTGTTCACAATTACACAGGAATAAGCACCACTGAGTTAAAACCGAAGTTGCTTCTATACGTAAGTATTCTTGGTCAGCAAAAAGCTTGAAAATAGTTCTCTTTGCATATCGGAAAATAGTTCTATTTGTATTCTTATACAATCTACTATATAACTGCTATATAGCTCGTTGAATATAAGTTTTATGGTTAAACCCAGTTACCTTTTTAACAATAGCCAAAAATACAAATATGTTTTTAGGCCCACCTAAGTCTAGGTTTTTTAAAAACTAATCTTTCTTCAATTATCAAGACCCACAGAACACTTCTGTTAGAGAAATATAAATAACAACTTGCATTCTAATAGGAGGCTTCAAAGGAGATGTGGCACATACATTTCTGATGCTTTCATTGACCTTCAAGAATTACACAGCATTATCCAATTTATGAAATTATTACTGATTCTGTCATTAAGTTGACAAATAAAATTTGCACTGAAAACAAGCAATTGTGGAATTTAGATCTATATTTACTTCAACAAATTCAGTTGTCCGCTATATACAGTGGTACCTTGAGTTACAAACGCCCCTCCTTACGAATTTTTCAAGATACGACCAGCTCCAGCCCCAAAAATTTACCTTGACTTGCGAACTCCGCCTCGAGTTATGAACCGGATCCGCGGCCATTTTCCCTGCTGCCATGCGGTCGCAGCTTCCTGTGGGCAAGATCGCGGTAGCAAGGAGACATTCAGTGAGGCTTGTGGTGTGTTTTGTGGCGTTTGGAAGGTGTTTGGTCAGCATGGCTCCAAAGAAAATGCAGAGCAGGCTTGGCAAGAATAAGGCTTTGAAGAAAAAAGTGACAATCGAACT